CAATGGACTCCGGACTAGGTGCGTTCCTCTAAGTCTTCCTACCAATATGACCATATTGCGAAAACCAGGTCAAACAACTTCTATACAACGAAAGAGGACTGTGACCACACAAAAGGCCACACCATCTTGGTCTTCATACCTTCGATTAATCTTTTTTGATTTAATCATTGTCTATAATTAATTTACTTTGAAGTCGTGCAGCAAATGTTAGCTCACAAGTCTATGAATATAATAATAAAAAATATGCCCCTGGCTATATATTGCATTCAAGGCAAGTTAATCTAAGGCTGCGCAAAGTTAGCCAGCTTTCCGAAATTTACGGGTAAGCTGGTCATCTTAGTCAGTCTTAGACATGAAACGAAAAAAAGGATTAGGCTTTACTTTTACATTTAAGCTCTGTTTTCAAAAATAATTTTTATTCTTTAGTGGAATGTGGTTTCAACCTTACTTTGGTATAATCTTTTATTTGGCAAAATAGCTAATCAATGCCCTATTCTTGAATAGAAACCTAATCAGTCTAGATCACTTAATGTTAAAAAAAACTAACTGTAGAGTATTTTCCACAACAATATAGTTAGGCCTTACACTTCAATACACTATCATTCAGCCTATCGTCGCAAAAGTTTTTGAACCCAAGCCTCGCGTTGATTCCACGAGTACCCGTAAATATATTCAAACAGGAGTATGGGCATTGGGGATGAGAAACGTCAAGAAAGACAAGGTTAAGTGAAAGTTATGGCACCTTAAGGCCTACCAATATTATCGTGGGAAGGACTTCACTATCAGCCCTTAAATAAACCAGAGCGATCTAAGGTGATTAAGTTGTGATTGCATAAAGTGAATTTTCATAGCATTGACTATAAACTAGCAACCGAAAATATGACTAAGACTTTCTTCAACAAGAAAATGCTGTATATTAGTGCTGGGATTAGCTCTAGATATTTATTTTCTCATAATTCGGACAGGATAAATTATCATGTCTTAATTCCAACAAGAGATAATTATAAGTAAGGTTTGACCTTGCCTTCAAGCAGAGACAAGGTAATATTTTATTAAGAGGCTGCCCACTCTCAGTCCTGGTGATTACACTAAAGAACTGAACTAAACATTTCACTCAACCCAGCTTGCTACAGACAAAAATATTTTCTATGTGAGATGTATTTACCCTATTTCGTTTAAGATAATGAGGGGCTAGTAGTTGAATTTTCCAACAATAATATGAGTAGACGTTACATTTCCACTGAATTTCCCATGGTTTTGCTTTCCCAAAATGTATTCTCATCCAGGCTTGAGTGGACTGCAGTTTCGACCTCGCCTAAGTTTCATCAGCATCCACAGTGGGACTCGGACCTTGATAGTGTAACGTATAAACTCGACACGTTAGCTAATACGCCATACTACCAGGAATTCCATTGGATCACTGGGCAGATGTGAATTTCAAAAGAAGCCAGCCATTTTCCCGTAGCACATTTTGTGGTGGTAACATCGAAGAAGCAAGGCAGTATTTCCTATAGCAATCGACTACATTACATATGTTTCGTATATAAGTAGATTGTCGAAACTACCAGTAGATCATATAAATGAGAAATATAAACGAAGCTTATAAACCCTGGATAAGAATACCTTTTGGAAAATCAACGCTATTTGAAATCCTCTGGAAATGTAATGTCTACTTATATCATTGTAGAAAAATTCAACTATGAGTTCCTCTATCCTCTCAAATCAAATATGGTGAATACCTAAACGAAAAAATAGTTAACGGATAAAATATATAGTATTATTTGAACTAAAGAGTAGATGTGATGGTACAAATTGTAATTTATAGCATTCCTGAGATGTATTTTCCTGTGGAAGGGATGGAAAACCTGTTGTCTATCACTCAGAGGAGAAGTTCTTTAAATACATCAAATTTCTGCCATAGTTTCAAATTCTACCCATCCTGTACGTTTAACTCCATATGTAAATAGTGAAAAAAAGGCAAAAGATGGTGCTCCATAAATTAGATAAACAATCTCCGTATACTGGGCATTTGAAGCCTGCTCTATTTTGAAAGTCTTACTTCACTTCTAAGTGACAGGTATCTAAGTCATGAGATAGGTATGAGAATGAGTTTTATTTTTGACACAAATTGGTTCTGGTTCTATTCATTAAATGCAGATGAAACTGAGGAAGGTAAAAAGTGTAATCTGCTCTAAATTAAATAGTGTTTTTGCTATAGAGTGTAATGTGAGGTTAATTCCAACATCCTCCATTTTTACAATTTCATGATGGGTAGCTCAGCTTCCTGGCTCTGAAATATTAAAAGACTCACAATGAACCGTCTTCTCTTAGCATAGATATGAGCTATTCATTATAGCAAAATAAATCATTCATTTACAAAAGGTCCAGATACCACTTTATTATGCACAAACTTTACAACATTTTTCCTATCAGCATGCTGGCCAAACTGAGCTATCTTTTTAGTCTCTCGCTATTGAGATAACATTTTCTTTTCATTAAAACCAAGGAGCCTAGCCATCTTTGTTTGAAGTGTTTTCCTAAACAACTGAAAGGTAGCAAATAATTTGACTTAGCTCTGGCCACGCATGCGATACACAAGGTAAGACGGGCTAGGTTGCTATGGTACCTCACCTAAGTAGCCTTTGAATGTGGGCCAACTGGCTGGTGGCGACAAGTCCTATCTCGGTCAAACATCGGCAGTTTACACACTGCATAATCCTGTTTGCAACATATGCAGGGGAACCAACACGCTGATGATGAACCTAATCAATTTGAGGCCTATCCTGTAAAACGCAACTTGGATGCAAGAAGACGTCCATGCACGATCTTAAATTGAATATGTTCAAAGGAGAATAAATAGGTATCGTGACATGTGAACTTTATATGTTTATCCAGATACCTTCAAAATGAAATGACATTTTATTTCTAATAAAAGGGAAATTATCAAAGTAGTCATTCTATACCGCTTAAGATAAAGAAGTCTTGATAATTTATTTTCCAAAAATCCTATGGGTAGGCCTCAAATTACAATGAATTTCACTTAGCATTGTTCCCCAAAGGCACTCTTTTCCATACTGGGCCAAGGTTTCGACCTCGCCTGGGTCGAGGTCTAGTCCCGGGACTGGATCCAAACTTGAGTATTGCAGCATTTATTTTCTACATCTTAACACCATGAGACATTGCTACAGGCGCCAATGGGCCACAAGGCAGACAGGAAATTTAGTTACGGCCAGGCCTCTCCGATATCACATTTTATAGTGGAAACTTCGCTGAAGTTAACTTTTAGTTGCAATTCCATTGAAAATATTACTTGTTTTTATACAGATTAAGTTTTTGAGACTGTCTGTAGATCTTGGATAGGCGAAGAAAAGTTGGGTTTCGAGGAATCCTTTGATTGATAATTGTCGAGCTCAGAACACAACGGCGGATTCCTTTTGACCGGCTGTCGGTTTGCTCTACTGAATTATTCTTGTTGCCGTAGTTTCAGAAGCAATATACTTTGATTTCGGTGAAAACGTTTCCTCGGAAACTGGGTAAGCAAGGATGTTCCAATAAAGCCAATCGACAGCTGGTCAAGGGGCATCCACTGTCGTCTTCTGGTAAGATTGACCTCAGAATCTCTTTAATAAATACTTTGACTCGAAACAGAATTGTGCTCACAATTATAAACCAAGAGATTCCTCTGAACCGAATTTTTCTTCGCCTAATTACTCACATAAATCCTGTGGGACCCCTGTTATATCGATTTCAGGCCTATCGTAAACACACGGGATTGGAGACAAACTTTAGTACTTGCCTTAAGAATTTCACTGGAATCCTGCTCATCCCTTTTCTGTCTCCAAAGCTATCTAGGATCTTTTACACTTTGGTTTCTCATTCCATCGAGGTTGCTGGAGACATCGAGGCGAACTCTTGTTTGCAGTCCATCCGGCAAGGGAAAGTTCTTTATGATATGGTTAAAGTCAGACCCTCATGAGTAATTTAGTTGTAAGGCCTACACCGTGATTACTGCCTGCATCTTCTTGATTATTTCCACGTTTAGTTGACTCATTCAAGCTAGCCTGAAAAGCACAACTTTCTTAGTCTTAGAAAGGTCAAGATATTTCATAATGTGTGACTATAGGCTTTGCCTTCTCTTCCTTTCTGCAATCATAGGGTCATTACTTTACTAGCCGTCCTTATTTTACAAAAGGGTAAAATTGTGAAAGAATGCCTGTATTCTGGGGCTCAGGCTATGACCAAAAAAGACATATGACTGGGCAGTGGCAACCTTTTTATTATAATTGAACTTAGCCTAGCGAATTTTATAGGAATGATCTTCAAGCCTTAGTTTAGGCAAATTCCTAAGAAATTGACCGTCGGCTGTTTTGATACCCTATCGCCTAACTCGAATTTACTGCTACTTTTCTTATTATAACTAGAATAAAATCATTGCAATTAGTTCTTTCATTTATTTTTTATTTTTTTACCATCAAATTTGGGTCCCTTGCACTTGTTACTAATAAGCCATTTCCTTTATTTGTTTGTCACATTTTATTGAAGACCTAATCTTGACGAAAATGCACATCGTATTCTTCTAAATCCATCAGAGGACTTCTACCTCGAGGAACAGTTTCATGAGCATAATGAAGATGATCACGACAGGGAAAGTATAAACAAAAACCGGGAAGTTCAAGTGGTTACAGAGTTAAACAGTTATGGGCATGAAGAGGATGGTGTGTGGGCAGATCACCCAATAAATTCATCAGGATTCATCGAGAAGAAGACTAGGCCTCTGCAGCTGGCCTTTGATCCAGAAGCCTCTATCTTAAATGAGGTTTGAAATGAACTTTTTTGTTTTGTATGCGTGAATAAAGGAGCCTACTTCCTGCTACCATTTGGTTCAGCAATAAGTATTGGGCAGCCATTTTAGAATCTATCTAATTGAATATATTGTAGGTGTTTAATCCTATCTGGAATAATCTTGATCCATTTTTTTTTACAAATATGGAATTATTACTGGCTCTGAAGTAAATAGTAGTGAAACCGAAGCCGTTTCTTTGGTGCCAGTATAAAATGAGGATATTTCACTGGCGAAACTGGGCCTGTGTACCAGTTTCGCGAAGGGAGTCGCTTCTGTGTTGTCCTCTAAGCGATCTATGGACCAGTTAAAAAGACCGTGGTGAATGACCTAAGGAATGCTATTTTAAATTTGATCATCAAGATAGTATAGCCTTTGGATGTAGTATCAATCTCCTCTTACAGTTTTGAATATGCTTCAACTTGTACTTGCAATATACTCGTGGTTTAGAGAAAAATATAAAATTATAATCTGTATACTCCCCTTTGACATTGTTGTCATGTGTTCATACGAAGCAAATTTATGTTTCGATGAATGTCCTGAAACAAAATTGATGCGTTAACTTGCATTTGGTATAAAATAAATGGGAAAGAGATTCGTAGATCGATCGACAACATTGACATGTGTTCCTCCAGTATCAGACCATTGATTGGGTAAACCAAAAGACGTTTAGTTCGAATCATACTCGGCTAGTAAGCAAGCACTTCCTAACTAGAAACCAAGAAATTACAACTGACCCATTATTTCTCTATACCAGCGGTAATCACTTTATGCCGCATAAAATGAGAAATAAATAATATTGTTAGGGGGGCTTTCATTTCGTATGAAAGTGCATGAAGAAGGGATTCGTTGGTCGATCTTACCAGAAGAGGACGGATGAATCCCGCTGTACTGCAGCCATTCGGCTTTTATACGACGTTCAGATTGACTCAGTCCACGAAACCTCCTCACTCGTTTTGGGGCGAAAACGGGCTGATCTTTCGTCCATCATATGATGGATATCATCAAAACTGGAACTCATTCTTGTAAAAGTTTAAAGTTAGCACTAGGGCAAGAAGACTATTTGGCTCTATCTTACTTCTTATATAGACTCAATTAAGCAAAAGAAAAGTAAAAAGTCTAGGTAGATTTAGAATGGTTTGGCTAATTATCTTTCGTATCGGTCTATGTGTGCGTGTGTGTTTGTTGATGTCACTAAGCAATACCAGTCCTAAATCAGTGATCAAAAATCTAATGTCAGGCTCTGGTCACCAAGCCTTAATGACACAAGAGAAAGCCGTAAATCCGTAAACAAGTATGGTTGAGATAGTGAGATATGAGCATTAAGCATGAAAGTCAAGTTACGAAACCATTTGTCCTAACCTCTCAGTTTGAATCATGCCCAAGGAAAGGCATGAATGGGGCCACGTAACTTCATAAGTCTGGTTTGGGGGATGAACTTAATCTAATATGTTGGACAAGTGTGAATGAAGTTAGAAGCATCAATGTACGGATAAGTTGAATCGCCTACTTTTGGACGGAAGCTCATCACTCTCTCTCTCTTTTTCAATCTATCAATCAAGCATACGTAGTTCCTACTAAACTTTCTACCACAGTCTCTCACATTCAACGTATTTCCTAGGCTATTAATTTCAATAGCCTCTTATCTTTCTTTTAAACACAGACGTACCATAATCAA